GAATTATTTACATTAAGATTTTTTTAAATGTTATGTATAGTTGATCTTTGGGTTAGACACTGTACATAGGCAGCTTTCAAAACTATACGTTATCCTCATTCACTCATGAATTCAGGGTCAGAATTGTTAAATCGCAGCAAAGGTGCTTGATGCTTTATCATATTCTTCAGAATTGCAACATGTTTTTTTACCATTTTCTGCTGCTTCAGCATTCCTATCCATAAGTCGCTTCTGAATTTTGGAAGGTTCTGGGGCATATAATTGCTATGCTATTTATGAAATGCATAGCCGTCTTCACTACATACACATGAATTATTCTTCACTGTTCAAAAGTTAAGTGATCATGGACAACATTTCAGTGTCATTTTCAGAAGGCTGGAGACAATAAAGTTCAAGATTAAGTACCCCGAGTCTCAGCTTTTCTCCAAGGCCACTGGAATGCCTTGATAGCTTGTCACGTGTAGCAAGAATTCACCCCTCCCCCTCCAAATCAGAATCCAGTGCACTATTGATCTAGCAAAGAGGATTTGCCATGGCCAACGCACATATTTAAGAACAATAATGCAGATGTTGGGCAGATGGTCACATACTTATTGTCAGTGTCTGTGACACATCCACCTGAAGCAAGCTCACTGAGATTTCTGAAAGCAAACCACTCACTTATATAGCCACCAGCCTAAGCTGCAGTTAAAGCACAAAGTCTACTGATGCAAATTGTAGCTCATATAGATGTATCCTACCTGAAATAAAAACATTCACATATAGGTGTTGTACACAAAGCTGCATTTACTCTCTCCAGGAACAACTGCATATACCGTAAAATCTTGAGTATAATGCGCACCTATGTATAATGCGCATCTGCCTTTTAAAGGTCAAAATTCTTGAATAAACTAAACTCATATCTATAATGCGCACCCCCATTATACTCGAGATTTTAAGATATGCATAGGAAGGAAGGGACTTGTGCCTGCCGCCGAACCCCTTGCCCAGCTGCGTTCATGCCTGCCGTGGGGTCCCCTTGCCCAGCTGAGCTTGTGCATGCTGAGCTTGCACATGCTGGGGGGGG